CCCCCCCCCCCCCCCCCGCCGTCCTCAATTATCTGTTAAGTGAAGGAATGTTGACCTTGCACCGTAACAATCGTGTTATCGTCTGAGTGGATCACAATTTCAAACTATTTTCGTGAAGGCATTCACCTTGTCGCGAAGTAGCTTACATCGTGATAAACCATTTATAGATTCAGCGTTATCAGGGCATAAGCTCTTCGCGGTCATGCGAAATGTGAGCTATTTATAAAATCTTAAGTAACTCGCATGCCGAATCATACTCTATCATACCAAACGTCCAAAGAAAAATTGCTAAAATTCGGAGAATTTCATTCCCATTTTTCTGTTTAGCTTCAACTTTGTATTGTTTATTCAAGACATTTAAGGTGAAGTCGGATCAGATGCAGACATCATGGTGCCCAGAGGACCATCCATTTATCACAATTTACATAAAGCTTAAAAGATCGTCAAAACACTCTTCAAAAGTCCATGTTTGACCCGAATTTTGCGTAAAAAACTAGACCGGAGAGGGTGGGCTGGGGCGGGCTGGGGTGGAGTCTTATTATCCGCCCTAGACCTCCCGCCGCGTGCCAATTTGTAATGTAAGTTGCTAAAGCGAAGCTCATCATCCGTAATGTTTTTATTTAGCGATGCAAATATATATGCGAATTGCTCATAGCTGTGAACCCCTGATAATTTGCCAGCATCTGCTAATAGGCCTGTGACCGCGGGTTATCTGTGTTTATCATAACTAATGAACCATACCGGGCTAGCCGGCTTCAGCCGCCGGCTCCAACCAGCAACACAATGTTTTCATTAGCTTTCATTTCAATCTTCATATAACACTGATGCAATGCTATCAAAACACAACAATACCTGTGTGAAAACAACTGTTTTTCAATCGCTTGTTATCTAAGCTTCTCACATTAGTATGGTCTGTTTTCTTTCCATCAAAAATTATTTGAACTCTACGCCTGTTTCTCTAACGGAATCACTATAATGCCACCCACAGCAAAAACTTTTCCGTTTCTGTAACTTGCAACCGTAAAATTATCTTTGTCTACTTCCAGAAGCGCCTGACATGCTACCTCCATCCCAAAGTCTCTTACCGCGCCAACATAAACGACTGACACGATTTTGCAGCGTGTTTTAGTAGCCTCTTTCATGGCTTCGACGCGCCGTTTCACCAGCTGACAGACGTTCTTTCCCAAGCGATCACATTTATCCCGGTTATACTCTGTAACACAGTCAAACTGTAATTTTAGTGTTTCTTGAATTATGTCCTGTATTGCAATATTTTCTTTCTCCACGGGTCCGAGAACTGCTGAGTCTTTTCGCGAAGAACATGGCGAACTATCCAAGCTGTTCTCCGATCCAGGGCGACTGTTAGTGAGAGAAGTCAACCACACATCACTTGGATCTGGTGGGAGAGTTTGAGGTGAAGTTTGGTTGAACACCGGTTGAGACGAACGCCTTAGCCTTCCCTTTTCTTCCGAATTAGATTTGGAGTTGAAATGAAACGAGAATAAAGACAGTTTTCTTGCTCTTTTGCCTGGCTTGGGTGAGAATCTCGGTTCTTTCTCTGGAAAAGGCGAAGCGTTGTAAATATTTGTAGCATTGTTCGTACGCTGCGTAGCTTCGTGACCGGAGGTGAAATGAAACGGGTTTGAATGCTGCCTCTCTCTTGGAAACCAAGATCCGTTTGCTTCCTCCATGCTTCAGCGTTCTCCTCTGAGATGCTCTATGAAAATTCCCACTGAACGTATCCTTAGACAGCTCTAGGGTCTCTCAACAGACCACGGGCAAATCACGAGAAAAACGCGAGGCGTTAATGTCAATAATGAAGGATAGGAGTACGTGATCTTAAGTGAAAGACAGGCTCTTAATTGTCAAATTTATCGCGGTTTAAATCGTCTCAACTCGCTTCCGGCAGTTAAGTGCTGGTTAACTGATATCTGCCGATCCTTTAATCCTTCAACACAGCCACATTGTTTTGCAAAAAGTAAACAAAATGTTGCAAATTGGAGAAAGAAAGAACAGTTAATTTTAGTTGATGACAAAATATGCTTTCATAGCCGGGTGCTTATCACAGGGGGCCGTGAAAAGGCTTATTTGCACGCTCAATCAGGCTTTTTCCAGCTGTGAATTCTCTCGCATTCACGTAATCGGTGATACTGTTATTACAGTCATTTTTCAAAGGAAGTTTTTTTTCCCGTGTAAACGACGCACAAAATTTATGTGGTAAATCAGACAGAATGCAAACAATTATCAGCTCAAATCTTGGTACGATTACTAAGAACTTTTGTTCCACAAATCGCTTGTCATTTAGAGCTATTTACATATGAAGTGAATTGAGCAAACAAATGGTTAATAGCCTCGAGAAATATTTAATCCAAGTGAAAGATGAAAATGAAATAAGTTGTTAGATACCACAAGGAGTGAGTAATCCTCCATTTAGAAACCTCCTGTTAGTTTGTAATTGATTTAATTGTCTCCCAGCCGAACCTGGGCGTGGGAATATGGGAACTGTTTTCACAGCATGGAATATCAAGGACATTATAGGTTTTTCTGAGTATTTGATAGCACAGCGTGTTGTTCTTAAAGGCGCGGAAGTATTTAACAATATTGAGTCATTATTTAGCTCAGTATAATGCAAATTTTACCGCCCTCTTTAATCAATGCACAGTCCAGCGTTCACGCCTGAGAGCAGACTTTGTTTTTGCGTTTTGTTAATAAACATTACGTGGCCATTAACACCAACGCACAGTTGCGTGTTATTATGCCGGTCAGCTTGGGTGTAGAGACTATGAAAACCGCAAGGTCGTTTAGATGGTTGCGGTCTCTATAATCCAGATTATCGAATGCACAAACGTTCTCTGTTTTACCTTTAGAGTAACTAGCATACTCATCAAAATAACAAGTCTCGATAAAGAGCCGCTGTTTGGGAAACGAGCCAACGGTTCTCGAACATGGGGAACTCGAAATCTGAAAAAAAAAAAACCGATCGATACACTCTCTGACCCACGAATCAATTCGATTCATTTGATTAAGACTGTTGCCAACATAATTAACTTAATTGAAACCAAACTATTCCGGAAATATTGTATTACTAAGAAAAACTTTGCGATCTGCACCAGTAAAACCAAACACACAAAGTCATGTATACCGTGTAAGAATATAGCACACAGGTAAGAGCGCTTTTCGTGCGCGATGATTGGCTAGACAAAGTTGCGCGTAAAGAGTTTGATATAGCCGACTAATTTTTCAGCATACAGACGGAAATAAACTAATGTATTGGCTTCTGTGTGGTGTATACCATTACACCACTAGTTGTTCATCTCTACTTTGATGAATAATTGTTTATCATTCATGATATTATTCCTCACGGAATGTCGCTGAAAATGATATACAGATGTTTGCGGTGTGTTTTGGCAAAATTCTAACTTCGTACTGAAAAATAACTGAATCGGAGATAATTTAGGTCTAATTGGTTTAGCTATGATCCTCTGTGGCTATAGGTTTACAGCGCGAAAAACGGATTCAAGTTTTTCGGTGTCTAATTGAGAGATTTTGTGTTTGTTTGCGTACTGGAAAGTCTCGAGAATGGTTTCGCGCTCTTTTCGTTCAAATCTGACAAACGAAAAGAAATATACCACGCGGGTAGCCGAGTTTTTATAGTGTTTCATGCATAGTCTTCACGGGTTATCTTGCTGGAAACATTTCAGGACAATTTGTGTACGTTTACTTGACAACAAGTGTAGATGATTTTTCCATAGACAAGAAATATGCTTCAGAAACCATGTTATTTTCATCTCTGTCGTTTAGAATTATACTTTAAACTTTTAGACTTCCCGCTGTTGGAAGTAGCCTAACGATTTCAAAATTGTCCGCTTCAAATGCATGTGCATGAAATAAAACTCGGGACGCCGCCATTTTTGTTAACAAAATGACCATACACGCAAATCACAACGCGCGGAGAAAAAACACCGGCGTTCTGGTTAAATAAAAAAGGTTTTTCTTAGAACACCTTTTTTTTAGCCCCCCAGTTCTTCATAAAAATCTACGAGGGATGGAAAGAAGAGGTTTTAGACGCAGGTAATTGATTGGCCGAAGAGATAAGCAAGATTCAAAATGGCGGCGCTTGTTTAAAAATCTTTTAGAAAATTTGAAGACGTTTTTCGCAAAGTCAGGTTACCTTTTAGAATCTCAAAATGGGGCAGATATTTTTATTAAGGAGATAAAAACTATATAATTTCCTTCCCCTAACCTAGAGATCATTTAATCTCTTTCATTAACTGTTTTGCACCCTAACATCAGTACGCATATTCTCCATACTGATCTCTATAATTTCCTATGGTGCATGCAAGGAGAATTTGATGATCATTTCCTTTATTCTCATGACCCTAGTATGTGATGCAGGGGTGGTGCTGCAAGGAGAAATTAGATATCAATCACTCTTAGGAGTCAAAAAATGGAGGAAAGCTACTCTCTGACTACTTTAGAATAACATCGACACCCTATGCGTGAGCTACACGTTAAAATCGTGAGGTCCTATGTGTGCAGAGAACACGTCTATCTCCACAGAAAAAAACGCTTATCGATGGAAAGACATTTTTTATCTAATTGACGCTAAATTCTCAGACAAGGGGTTATAGGAAGTGGGTGGTATACTGCACAGGGAGATAACCGCTTAAGATTCCGGGAATGAAAAGGGACACGTCGTACCAGCCTGTTACGCAAAGTCGTTTCATCATTAAAAATTTGCTTGTTCTGTATGTCCTCTTTTTCAAATTTTCGGTTCCAGAAAGCTAACGGAGCTTCTATTGCCCTCTTTACTATCTCAGATATTAGCGAGAAAATTTAAAAAATGTCCCAGCATGCTGTGAGGCTACGGAGGATCTTTTGAAATGAAAACCGTCTGGTCAGAGTGATAAACCACTTCTGGCGAAATTAAGTCTGTGAAATTATTATTACAAGAAGGCTAAAATTATTAAGGAAAAGCGAAAGAATCAGTTATAACACTTCAATATTTTTAATCCAATTTCAGCCAGACTGATATCTAAAACTAAACAAATAAACATGACACGCCATGGCGGGAAACCGTAGCTCCTACATTTCCGTACCCGAAGAATCTGACATGCAAGTTATTTCATCATCGTATGAATATATTAGTGTGGTGATTAACATTTATATGATATATCAGTATAGAGAGTTTGTTATAACAGACGCAAATCCAAACAAAGAATCACTCCTAAAACTCGCCGCAGCGAAGTTATCTCGATCAGTCTCCCATAAGGCCTGGACAGAGGCGAACATTCCCTCGTCTCTCACGGATCCGATGTACGCTTGGCATACAACCTTGCACTGAACATTTTCCGTCTCCTTCATGGACTCTACAAGCGTTTTTAAAATTCTACAGATGCTTTTACAAACTCGGTCACAAGTCTCTCGCTTGTATTCTTTCATTGATAAAAGATGCGCGCGCAGCACGTGCCTAATGAGGTCGTGGATTTTGACATCTTCCTCTTTGAAGAAGGCTTGTTCAGGGACAGGCTTGGTTTGTGACTCTTTACGCTCTAAATTCGCCGCCTCTTCTACTCTTCTCTTCTCTTCGTTTTCAATGGTAGTTGCCACTTGTTGATTTGGTGGAAGTTGTGGGTCAGTGTTTCGTCTCTTTCGTTCTTTCTCACTCGTTGGTTTATGAAATATCGTCAAAGATAATTTGCGAGTCCTCTTTGTTTCTTTCTCGTTAGTAACATCTTGTTTATTCGAACCAGTAGATTGATTCCCAGCGAAAATTCCATGCAAAGATAGCGGAGAAATTCTTCTAGTGATGCTGAGCTTTCTTCTTCTCTCAGAGGGCGCAGGGGGTCGAATCTCATCATTCTCATCAGCGACCCCATTTCCGCCAAGACTTGCAGCGTTAAACGGAAACAAGTCAGATATTTTCTTAGACTTTTTCATTGCTGTTTTTCGACCATCTTCCTCTTCGGCTTCGCTTAATGAATGATAACTGGTTCCTTCGTTAGTCTTCGACGTCGATCCGGCATTAAACGAAGACGCCCTCGAGGTCGTTCGGCTACCTGTCGGCGCTGAAGTGTTTGCTGAATCACTCTCATCAACAGTCTCTAGACCGACTACCGAGCTGCACGTTGAAATTTCAGAAATAGTGTCATCGTTATCGTCGGTAAAAACGTTGCCAGATTTCATTTTTTCCATCAATAAATCTCGTAAAGAGCTGTCCAGTTCGGTTGAGTCTACATTCGGTAGATTCCGAAGGTCGGGCTCAAGAAGCGGTCTTGACTCAAATCCTGGGCCAGAATCAAAAGCTAACACCGGAGACACTTGAACGTTGTTATTACAAGCTTGGAAAGGATTCGTTTCTTTGCTGTGATACGAAGTAATTTTCATCAGTGGTATTTTAACTGTAATTTGGCGATTCATGTTGGTATTCCGCGCTGTAGTTTATCAATGAACAACAGTTTTCAATTAGTGTACTTCTCTTGTATATGTATCAAGTTGCTCCACTGCCAGGACGTGGTTATGTGTGTCCGTGTTTGTCAGCAGCACATGAATCTTGTGGAAGGTTAATGAACTGAATAAAATGTAAGCTTATTTATTACGTGCCATCCACGCACCTGGGATCACAGTGTGATATCAAAATAATATTCTGCAATTCATTTGTTGCGCAAAGCCGGAGGAAGAGAACTCTTGAGGTTCAAACCTCAAATCCCACTTCTTGCGGAAGTTAGATCACTTTTCAAAACGGCCCGCCTAACAAGATATCTCAATAACCATGTCCTTTAAGTGTTATCCATCCATGTTGATCTGTTTAGTTGTACTAATACTCTTTCACACTGTTTAAGCAATTACCTCGAGGCAGTAGAAGCCATGAATACCAACTGGCGTACAGAGGAAGAATGAACATATATTGTATCAATGATGGTTTTATTATCTTATCTACCCAAGCTAATACCTGTTATCACATCTTATTTCTCAGATGCTCCAGTCTGTGTTTTATATCTGATCCTGGATGGTCAATTTGAGCGCTTGTACTTCATTGGCAAAAATCCGAAATCAGAGCGCAAATCAAATAACGTGTACAATTTTAGACAAACATTATTTGTTTACAAAACGCCTGGAGCGAATTCAGGAGATGTTTTTCGGTAAAAGAGCGACAGGGGTTGGCGGCATTTTTAACTAGTCTCGACCATCTGGCCCCATATATGGATCTGTCATTGGATCAGGTATTTCGTGACGGTCACATTCTCAAACAGCTATGTTCAATCAGTTTAGACTAACTGCTAAAATGGTGCCGAAAGATCTAGAGATTCTTTCTAGAAGCCCACTCAACCCTTAATTTTCAGTAACGAAGCACCTCGCAACACATGGAGATTTTTTTTTTGTACAAAAAAAACATTTGTAATGCTTCTAATTTTTTCAAAGATTGCTTGAAAAGATAAATAAACAGTTAGGTGATCGATTGCCCGTTACCCGAAGTATCCGGCCGAGACAACTGTTTTCAGTAATCAAGTTTATGTATCATTTAATCTTCTTTTGTATCAAAATAGAAAGAGTGTTGAATTAAGCAAGTTGCTTAATGACCTCGGACATCTTTGCCTCGGAGCACGCAGGAAAAAGTAGTCAAATTTGGAAATGTCAGAGTTGTTTTCAAAACGGCCGAGCACGTTGTCAATATAGAGTCGTTCTCTCGACAAGCTAATTAGCTAAATACTTAAAACATATGTGAAGATATATTTTTTACTCATTATGGTCTTGCAGAACAAATTAACAGATAAAAGGATGAGTGGTAGACGAAAGGCCGCGAGCTTCTGAAATGGCTGACGGTGCGAGATTAATTGTGATCGCGACAAATAGTCTGCGCCCTCGAAAATTGAGTGCGTCATATTAAGTTTTGAGAGCAGGAAAATTGAATGTCGCTGTAAAGCTGTTGATCTACGCACCTCCTGGGCCAACGTCTGTAGTTATCAGTGTAGCGCTGAAAGCTCCTGTAGCGTGAGAGAAAGAGAAACAATTTTTTTCTTCATATCTCTTCTGTCATTGGGAATAAAAAGTACAACAGTGAACTACAGTATTTTTAAGTCAATCAGTAATTGTGGTACATAATAATATTTGAAAGCTCTTTTTAAAATGACATTTTTTTTGAGAGATCAGGTACAGAGGGGAGGGAGGGGTTCACAGGTGGGAGGAGTGACAGGCTGACTATGGCATTCTTGTGGTGGGGAGGCAGGGTAGTTGTGTGGCAACAACTCGGATATGAGGGTATTATCATGCTAAAAAGCTCCCAAGATCAAAATATCAACTCTCTACAATATCTCCTTAATACAATTTTTAGCTCTGAGAATTTGGTGCATTAAGTCAAACAATTTCACTCTTTATTTTACTCACTTCAACATTGTAGCAAGAAATTCCCTTAAAGTCACCCCTGGGATTGGAAGCATGGTGTGTCAGAGGTGCCCTGGTTGAGATATTAAATCAGCTACAAACAACTTGTACTGTACTGAGATATTAAATCAGCTACAAACAACTTGTACTGTAAACTTGTTGTGGTAATTCAGGGTATTTGATCTATCTAGTCGTCATTCATGAGCCTTTGAGGCAGCTCTCAGCTACAACAGACTGGTAAAGGTAAGGTAGGTAAAGTCTGTACTCAAGCTTATAAGGCCCATGCAGTTGGAGCTTATCTCAGTTTAATGGTTACCCCCTTGCATTTCATCAGGCTTCCCTGATAATTCATCAGCACCCAGTTATACTCCTGGTTGGAGAGAGGCACCGAGAGTAAAGTGTTTTGTCCAAGAACACATCACAATGAACTGGCCAGGTCTTGGACCCAGACCTCTCAACCCAGGGTCCAGTGCACCAACTAAATTAGGCCACAATGTTCCACAATGAACAACAGTAGAATCATTAAAATATGAAAAAGTGAGGAGGGAAGGAAAGAAAACTGAAATCCAAAGGAGAAAGTCCTGTTGATGAAATCCTAGTCTGGTGCATGCATACTCACCTTCAAAATAAACACAAATAGAAGAATTCTGTTCAGCCTTTATTTGCAATTTAAACATTTCCATCTCAACATTTTATTGAATGTCACCATTTTACTAACTCAGTTTCTTGTCTCTTTAGCGAAACATCGTTACAGTTGCCACATAACGCAAGAAGGAAGTGTTGCGTGACGATTTAGCCGTGAGTTGCGCGACTGCGTGGTTTCTACTCAGTATCCGGTGGACAGTTCGCAAGCTCAGCTTCATTCACATCATAATCTTTCATTGCTCTTTCCAGAAAGAACCAATGTCCTAGAATTCCAACGTCGATCACACGTTCAGGGAATGTCTTCCATCTTGGCTGTACATATTCACAATGTTTTTCGTACAAATCACAGCCAGGTCCAAACTCAGTCACATACACGAGAGACAAAAATCCAAAAGTCTGTATTTGCAACCTTTCCTGATTGCGGTATTTCAGAATATTCTGCACGTAACTGTCCGAATTTGGATTCCTTATCAAATGGCTGATCTGCAACAGTTCATTGGAGCATTCTAGCACAGCATCTTCATAAGAATTCACATCTGGGTTCTGTTCGTAAATGTAGTAAAGTCCTCCGAGCGATGCTAAGGTGCAAGCTGAACGGAAGGGTTTTGCCTTCATATTCTGGTACAGTTCCTTAAATACCAGCTTGTAATCTGTGAATACATTGTAAGCTGACCTGCCGAGTTTTCTTTGCTTTAAATTTTCAAACTGCGGTAAAAACATGTTGTTTATACGGTTTACGTTTCGAAACGCACTCCTCAATCGGGCCGCCATCTTGTTTACCCCGCGCCGAAGACGCATGATTCCTCGAACACAACAGCTGACCTGTTATCGACTCACACAATTTTCACGTGGTTTTAACTGCCTACGGACCACAACAAGCTGAATCAAGAAACTTTCCTCCTTCAGAAATTAGACATGGTGCGTATTTACATTTTTTTCCCTGCTTAGAACTTTATGCCACAATTCACAACTCTTGCTATTCACTACGATCGAGTTAATACTCCGATTTTGCTGAGTTCTGCCGTAGATTTGCAAAAATGTCGCTATGTTTTATTTTAACCGATAGCCAAAAGAAGGAAAAGCCAAGTTGCATTGCAAGAAAGTTGTACATCCAAACTCTAGAAAAGCTACAAAGTTGGCGAGGCAAGCACACAGAGATGAGAAACTTCAAAGGTGCGATGAATATTTAAGTTTCTGTTGTCGTTTTAAGTTCCCAATCCAGTTTGAATTTAATTTTTGAAAAGATTTCCTTGTAACTCCATATATATATACTATTCTAGGATAAAATCTTAATCTCGTAGGTAATCCATTTTTTCGCCATTGTTTGCCTTTATCAAAGAACTGATTCGCTTTGTATCGCAGTCATCTCATATACAAAACTGAAACAGAGAAAAACATTGCTAAAACTGGATTGAAAATATTGTGTAAACCTGAGTATAAATGCAAACTAACCGCATTCAGCATTTTTGAGAAAATTCGCCTTAAAAAAAGGGAATAAGTGCACTTAACAGTCTCAAAAGGTAATCTGGATATCTGGTAATCAATGAATTTGAGTAAGTCCAAAAAAATAGGCAAATCCATTAAACCTGCTATGCCTCGTTCTTACCTTGACGTTTTCGTAGATTACCCTGAAATCCAGAGGTTTAAGAACTGTAACCTGAAAGCTACACACAATAACTTTCGGGGTTGTTATGAGCACTTTTACGCTTTTTTTTTTCCAACAACCTTTTTCAAAATAGCTGTATCATGTCCAAAAGTTGTTTGCAAACATCTGCAGCTGATTTTCAGAAGTCCTTTCCACCAATCATTTTATTGTTGTTGTTTGATTGTATTTAGGAAGAAGACTGAGAGAAACTATCTTCTTCAAATAAAAGGTACAGTTCTGAGATGCTAAACTGAACAGTCTGCACTGTTTTTATCTGATTATAGACTAACATCCAACACCAAAACATAGGCATTTTATTGTACCAGTTCCTAGTAAGGTTATCATCATGAGAGTGGTAATCTTATTAAACCATTGACTTCTGTAAGCATGCTGGCTATGCCAATTCACCTAATCAATTTTGTTGGTTGGCTTTGTAAAAAGATGTGTGACATCCAGATTAATGAACTTTGTAGAGAACTAAGGCAATGGGTGCACTTGGCAAATGCTTACTTATTCAACCACTGATATATTCAACATGTCAGATATGAGTGGTTTCATATGAAGATTGTGATCATTGGCAGAAATTTCCCACTGGGGGGACACAAAGATGATTTTTATCATTCCAGCAGTAAGAGTGAAAATGGAGTAGTGTATTGTCTGCTTCAGATCTATGACAGAGCAGTCTGGAAACTTTTTCAAGGTCCCCATTCTCCAGTTTTGCCTTTTTAAAGCTTATCCTTTATTTTTTTCAGTTGGAGAAAAGTTTAGATGGTTTTTCGAGAACATAGATCATGATAAAACAGAGTATTCGAGTTCTGAAGTGTGTGAACTCATTGAGAGGTAGGTGACTGTCTTACAAGTGCATTACTTTATTCATACCTGATTCATGATTTTGGCAGGACAGTATTTCACAGGGTTTTATTCTTTGTAATTTCATTACTTGGAAAATGTGAAAAAAGGGCTATTTTGCAATTCAAACATTTGTAACTTTACCTTATTTTTCAAAATGTGTACACTTTTGATGCCTGCACAAAATTTGTACAAATCTAAAGATTAAAATAAAGATGATAGCTAGATTCTCTACTATGTAACTATGTGAAATGTTTTCAGATGAATGTCATTTCACAACAGAAGATACAAAATAGAACTTATCAGTAGATGGATTAATAATTTTTTGATACATATACGGTATATTTTTTGGATATTACATACTGAATTTTCGACAGGGAATTAAATTTTGCAAGGATATTTATTCGCTGGTCTTCAATTTTTCTTTGATGAGCACCTTTTATCTGCTGGCCAGACTTGCTGAAATGTTTATTTTAAGAATGAAAATAATGAAGATTGTTTTTCTTGTCTAGCATGCACAATCAAGATAAAAATATGTTGTAAAGAACTGTAAAACTCTGAATTTTCTTGAATGCCCCACCTTTCACAATTCTCACACATTCAACTCAATGACCTGACTCATAGCAATGAAACATTCTCATAAATATTTTCTAGGTATTTACATCGCTCTGACGAAGAGCTTCAACAAATCAATGAACAGAACAGTATAAAAGGCAGACAAGGCCGAGCTCATGCATCAAGAGAGGACACACTGAGAAATGTTATTGAACGTGAAAGGGAGCTGTACAACACTTGTGGTATAGGTAGGTTAATAGTTTTGGACACTATTTTTGGGCATCTAGACAATTGATTTATCACATGCCATATTTATTTGGCTATAGGCTGAGCAATTTTTGCACAAATTAACGCTAATATTTGGTAAAATCTGAGCTATAGAAGGGGTTCGGATTATAGCAGAGATTTTTCCTTAAAACAAAACTTTTTCGACTTACCGGAAATTAATTATCAGTTAGCACTTTGCAATTGCGTGTGTTTCTGGATAGGTCAATCTTGTTTTCTTATACTTTTCAATCCTTCTAAATATTCATGACAATCATTGTGTTTCTTTTGTAAAGTCTCTATCTTTTTATGAACATTGTGTTCTAAAATAGGTCTTAACGTAGAGCCAAAGGTTTTGGTTTAATTTTTCGCAATGATGCTGCTGAGTTTACAAATTGGAAGTTTGGGGTCTTGGCTTATAGCCAGGTAAATACAGTATTCCCAAATTTGCTCTCCTGCACCCCACCTGCAATTATCTTAGAAGGCAAATGTGGATCAAAAACTCACAGAATCATTGCACAGATATGATTTATTGATTGATACTTTAAGCCTTGTGGTTAAAACTGAGGAACTCAATTACTGCTCTGTCTCAACATTCTGAAGGGATAATTTTTAAAAACAGTTTCAACAAAATGTACAAAGAATTACTTGTCTCAGGCTTTCTTCTTCTCATTTATGTTTTCCAATTCCAAGCAACACAATTTATTTCCTTGTCTCAGTCTTAATTGCGTACAATTTATGTTATCCTATTTCTAACGATGAAATTTCCGTTCTTTTTCTTCTGCACCCAGAGCTTCCAGACCTAACATCTGCAAAAGTGTTGGCACAATTTGGGTGAGTAAAATGTCTTGATTTGCTTTCTTCAACCCTTTCACTCCCAAGATCTGATTAGTAATTCTCCTTACTATCTTCCATACAATTCTTATGATGTTAGTTCAGAGAATTTGGTACTGGATCAACTAATAATCCCATAATTGATATTCTTCTCTATTCTCATCACCAGCCTGCTTGATATTGTATTGATATTGTAAGGAGAAATTCTGTCTTGGTCACTTGTGGGAGTGAAAGGGTTAAGCAAGAAAATACAACTCAGTTACTGTAAGTATGTCTCAGACCAGGATCAAACGTTGTTCACGTGTGCTGCAGGGTGTTGTGGACATTTTGGCAAATTACAGGGGATTGTGAGCTGATTGGGAACAGACAGAAAGAGACAAAAAAAATCTTTGAAGAATTAGGCTTGGGAAATTCTGCAATAACTGTAACTTACATTCACCTTTTAAACTCTAAGAGTGACCAGCATCCAAATTTTCCTTGCAGCAATGCAGCTGAATCATTCATTAAGATCATGAGATTGCTAACCTAAGATGCTTTGATTGTAATACAAATTCTCCTTGTCCAGAGCAAAGTAAACATATAGAGAAGAGTGTGGAGAATATGGGTACTGATCGATGTTAGGGTATAAAGGGTTAACTTTAATTTGAGCAACAATATCAAGCTCTTCCTTAGTTCACTGTAAATACACAGACACATGGAGTAACTAGGAAAAAAATTGGTTAACCCTTTGACTCCCAGAAGTGATTGACATGCAACTTCTCCTGATAATATCCAGTGTTCTTCAAGGGTGTCGGCAACTGGCTTTTTCGCCGGCTACTCATGTCTCAAGCACCGGCTATTTCTGTCAGACAAAATCACAGAAAATTATTCTCTTTTTTTTTCTAAGCTAATTTTGAGTGTGGCTTGAATTTGTGCTCTATTTGGAAGTGCTGGCTGCTTTATAATTTTAGCTGACTACTTCAAAATCTGTGGAGAACACTGAATATCCATACTTTATACAGCAAACAGGTAATGAGAATACTTAGACTTATCATGTCAAACTTGTCATTTTGATCTAACACAGAATTCTTGTCACTAATTTACTAGGAAAAGTTTAACAGCTATAGAGGACAATTAACAATCAGATCTTGGGAGTTAAAGGGTTAATATTTACATCAATAGGAGGAAACACAGTTGGCTATTTACAAAGCATAGTTGCAAATTGAACTCAAAACTTCTTCAGAGTGAAGATTTTTAACTTGGTACCTCCAGATTTCAAATCCTGCACCTTGCCACCATTGCATTTCTTCTAAAAAGGGTTTTTTCACTCTTTGCAAAGTAAATGGTTAACTGTTCTAGGCTAAATCGGCTATTTTTTTATTTTGTGCAAAAATGTATCAAAAATGATGATTTTTTGCTGTGTTTGGCTGGAATATGAGTATTTTAATCTTACGTTTTCTCTTAGAAACTTTGATTTATTTTTGTTTTTTAGAGAATGGAACTGCGATGTGGCCAGCCTCAAGCTTATCAGGATGCGAAAATTCAAATCTTCAGCTCTTGAGAAGAAACAGGAGAGAAACGACAATGAAACAGATGAAAACCTTAAAGAAGGAAACATTAAAACTTAAAATGAAATGTAGGGTATTGGTATTCTGAGGTTGATCATTTGCAAAACGGGTTTGACCTTAAAAAAAGCCTCGAGTTGTTGTGTGGCGCAATGGTGGCCCAACTTCTGCGAAGTCTCAGGTCAGGAAATGAGTTTTTTGTGGGTCTCTGTGAGCGGAGGATGGTTGAGCGTCAAAAGCAAGAGGCTGGGCAAGAGTTTGATATAATCTTAACAATGACATTATTACTCAAAGGTTACATGGTACTCTGGATAACATTGAGAATCATGAAAAACTACAAATATGCTGGGATTCTTAGTCTGATCCACGACAGAATCGTAAAGCACTTCTGGCCTCGAAGGGTGTATCGGTGGAGGCACCTTAATGTCTTTTTTCCCTGCACAGTACTTTCCTACCAGGACTCGGGCAAGATACATGTGGCGGCCAGCATCACCATTCCCAGTGTAATGAACAGAGTAACTGGCGTCCCTGGCAAAGTATACACCCTGTCCGTATTTTGTTCCTGGAAAAAAAATTGAAGATTATAAAGCAAATCGTATAGAAATCGTTGGCGGGTGTATTTGCAATAATTCTTATCCGGAGTGTAATGACCTCTGGGGGCAGTGTGACCGAGTAGTCAGGGCGCTGGGGCTTGTAATCTGGTGGTCTCAGGTTCAAGCCCTCCACCCTGTTACACACTGGATTTGTTTTCATTTGCCCCGATTCAATTCCTTTGCTGCGCTTTGTATAGAGCCAACTGGTCTGCCTCATGTCAGTTGGGATTCTTAAACACTTTGTTTACAATGTCTGTTCCAATTTGCTTGTATTTTCAATTTGTTTGTATTAACCCTGAAAAGTACCGTTGCGAAGTGATCAATTAAGTGTACATTACATTACTACATATGCAACTTTGAACGACTTTTTTTCCCGTTTTTTTTTTCTCACTAAAGGCGACATTTATAGGCCTTTTCGTAAGATTGTTACCGCGTTTGCACGAGTGAAAATTCTTTTTAATTAATTAGCGCATGTTAACTCAAGGGTACGTCATCACCATAGGCTTTCAAATTGGAATACTTACCGTGGACTCCACAGAAGCTTCGGTTAAATCCCTGTGCGTTTATATGGCTGACGTTTATAGCATTCGTCCCATGAAACAGTTGTCGTTCGCTATTACCTCCACAGTCCGGCTCAATTTTCTGTTTCCTCGCCATGTAAGCTTGCCACAGATGAGGATTTTGCACTCGTTCAATCTTCTGAATACTCAATCCTTTAGCGGTCGCATCAATCATGTGCTTGACATTTTTGTATTCAGAAGAGTCTGGTAACAGCACCTCTGTGTGCACAATCATATCAGGTCGGGGCATTGGTGTCCAGTGCGTTGGTAGGGGAAATCCTAGGGAACAAGAAGGCCTGACTTAGAGGTGCATGAAAGGTTAAAGTGAGCAAGAATGTTTCCTTTATTTGTACCTCGGCGACATTGACGAGAGTTTGGTCTCCTTTTAAAGACTTGATTACTATTTCTTTTGGTACCGTAAAATTATTTGTCTTTTTGTCACACAGAGAAGGGTAATAGTGGTTGGTTTCGTCACTTCAACGAAAGGAATCATCTTAGCAGCCAACTGTTACTGCACGATTACTCGTAAGAAAACAGTGAGTAGCTAACCTTTTATCTTTCTCGTCAGAGTTATCTGATCTCCTGACTGTTGTCCGCGTCCAATATTTTTCTTCAAATCTATCAGGAATTGCTCTCCTGACAGAGATATCTTTATTTCTGACTTTCCTTTATTATGCGCCGTTTCAATCATGGCGTTCGATCTCTGATTGAAAACCATTTTAATGCCTTTTATTTCGTAGCCCCATTCCACACTTTTTGATATCAGATGCGCTTGCTCTTGGTCCTGTTTTTTCTTTTTAATCTTGTCCAACTCTTTCATGATCTCCACGACCATCTTGTTCACTTCTGTAGATTCACCCTGAACTAAGATACGAGTAGCGGTATCTCCGACTTTAAGTTTCAAGTCACGGGCATCGGCTTTTCTTCTCAGAGTCTCAATCTTCTCATGGGAGAGTTGACTAACCACGTCGCTTTCCACCTTTTCTGTTGTCAAAGCCCCGGTGAAACTTTTCTTCAGGAATTCAATAGCATCTGTGACGTTTGGCTTTTTGCCCGCGACACAAATATCTACACAGTTAAGCACGTTGACTTTAAAGCGACCATCTAATGCGATGCACTGGGTTACGACTTTCTTTGAATTATGCTGAAATTGCTGAAATGCCTGCATCATTTGGACTTGAAAGATAATAATCCTTACTGTGTGGACAGAGTTAAAACTACCGCAGAAGTTGTTAAGAGCTCGGTATATCACGTTAGCGGATTCTGTAGTAGACATTTGGAATCCACCAGTCCCAACTGCGGGGATGGAAACGGAGCCAAGACCATGTGTTTCTGCAAGTCGAAAACAACTTTCCAGGCACTGCTGGAGGTGGCTTTCATTTGCTGAGTCGGATATAAGGTGTATAATGTGACGTGATGGTAGCTTTCCACTAGCGGTCATCACCGCTGACCCACACGGTTGCTGTCGGAACTTATTCAACTCATCCTGTATCCGCTGACCGCCCAACATCTCCATCGTTTTGCTCACCATTCCTCTATCCATATCCAAGTCTTTGCTGACAATATTTACAATGGCGTCTGTTTTCTCCTGGAAAAGGTCACCATGAGCCACTTCAATAAGCACGGGAGTCTTTTTTAACTTCTTGTGTACGTTTTGCTCGACTCTTAATTTGTCCATCTCTTGTTTGAAAGCGGCAGTTAATGCTCGATCTTGCTGGTAAACAACAAATCGAATATCCTGCGTAGAGGATGCGGAATGAGCTTTGCAGAAGGTGATTACTTCTTCCAACATAAGTCTGGAGGCTACATCACGAGGGAAGTTTAGTTTCCCGGTACCTATTACAGGAAATGCAATGGAAGTCGCTCGTAGCTCTACACTTTTCTGCAGACACTTTCGAACAAGGCCCTGTAGAGTCTATATGGAAATAAAACACATTGATTTGAAAGCTGCATGCATCCTTTTACGCATACGAACTGCAACTCATCTAATAACGTGTCTACTCCAACAAATTGAATACCTACCTCTTTGCCCTGGCCACCATTCCAACTGCAACACCGGATGTGGATCACATGCCTAACGAAGGCAAAACCACCAGATACCGTGATGTCTCCAATCTTTGGAGATGCTACTTTTGGACCACCAGCCTTAATGATTGCTTGAGTGCATGCCCCCTGGGAGCAGACCAAGAGATCAGCCTGCAATTCAAGTGAATGTTACCATACCTTCTTAAAGGACGTTATGACTTTCCGGATGGCCAAAAATATATATATGGGGTGTTTCGCAACAGTAATATCGTCATTTTGAAACAGAGCTTGCGACATGAACATCCGTAACTGAGGAAATAGTGGCCTATGCTATTTAGCTGATATTTTATCAACATTCAAAGTACGTATTCAAATATGAAAAAAATAGTTAAAACAACTGTCACCTTTTCTGCCTCAATGTTCCCCATTTTCCATGATATTTTGTGTCCATGTTTTGTTAGCAGAGGAGAATCGTCAGCAAATGAAGAGCCTGCTTCACCTTCATTTGCATTATTATCACCATTGGAATCGTCGTTGTCTTCGTCCTCAGCGCCTTTGCAGTCATCTTCATCGTCTTCATGGTTGGTATTGGCTGCTGATGAGTCATAATCTACAGTTTTTAATTCATTTTCGTCTGTTTGCATAAAACTTTTCTGGATGCTAATGGTGCAAGCTTGTTTCTTTTTCACAGACATCATTAAGTAGTTTTCTTTCCCGCCTTCAAAATATCTACAGAGGCCTGGCTGTTCCACTTTCCAAGTCTTCCAAACGATATTCTTTTGAAGATCATCAATTTTCTCTCTTGCTATTTTTAAGCCTGTTTCTCTTCCGGAAATTTCAAGGAAATTGTCGGTATTTCCTGTTTTAATCTTCACCTGAAATTCTTTCAGGTGAACCTCAATGCAGCGTAAATCTTCATGACAAATGTCGACGAGATACTTTTTAATAATTGTTGCCCGACACTGAAACTGATCTTTCATGATGATGCGGTTTTTTTCCAAGAAGGTCTGTAACTTTTTCATCTCGTGAGAAACGTTTTCTCGGAACCCAACTAAGTATACATCATTCCAGGAGTTTCCGTGAACGTGGACAGTGGACTGGGTGTTAATCTCCTGACACAGTAGATGCCAGGTATGGGATTGTAGCAAAATTTGACTTTCTTCCTCTACGTGAACTTTTTCTTCCAGCATCAACCTATTAACAACCTCCAAAGCGTTATCGACATGCGCGGTTGATGTTCCTACCACCCTGGCCTCTTTATCAATGAAGATCACAGCCTGCACGTTGTGTTTTTCCAACTCACCATTCACCGTCTGAAGCCCAACTTTTGAGCCCAAAATCTCTTTTAACTTTACGGATAATTTCAGTGATTTTTCAACCACGTCATTCATATGATCCCGAAACTCCACGATTGCCTCATTCAGTTGTTGCTGAGGACCTTTGAAACGTAGTTCTTCGTTTTCAACATCCAAGCTGATTTCTATTTTTCGGTTTTTCTCCTTAAGGTTCTCCACAAACTTCAGTTTTTTTAGCAAAATTAAGCGTTCTTTAGGAACATTTTGTATTTTGATTTTTGTGTTGGTTTTCAGGATCTCATTGAGGTATATCTCTTCCAATTTAGCTTTCACTTTTTCCTGGTTACTTTTTACATCTGTTTTCAAGCAAACAATCCTCAAAGAATGAGTATCACCGCTGATTTTTATCAGGGAAGGGTCAAATCCCAAGGACCCTTGAGCCACCACGGCTTCCCAAAAATCCTTGTTTACCGGGACATCACACTTCGCAAACTTGTCGACGAAATTTTGTACTTCTTCAAAGCAGTCAGACTTCCACGAATCGCCTCCACTCTCTCCGTGATACTCTATTGCAGCTGTTTTTTCGTTGGGTTTCCAGGTGATAACTCCTTTCTTTTTAGCCAAGGAGCTATTAAGTTGATCCTGAAATGCCGTTTTGGTGATGTATTCCATCACATCAGGATCTACAGCCATGAGCATCGTGTTTGATTTAGTCCTTCTTGCAATATCCACAGTCTCTTTCAATTCGCCTTCATTTTCGGGTCTATCACCTTCTTTGATGTCTTGCAACTCGTAGCAAATTTCAAGTGACAACGTTTTCCCATTTGAGATTAGTGGTCTCTCTCTGTGTAAGGCCAAGACTCTTTGTATATCTGTCAGGATGAAGAGGAGTGGTACGAAGTAAGCCTTTTTTGCTTTAAATAATTCTTCATAAAACTTGAATTAGGAAGGTACCGCATGAGAGAATTCATGTAGCAGACAGTAAATGAATGAATCAATTAGTCAGTCAATCGGTCAATCAGTCATTCAATCAATCACGTCCTCTATATATCTATCAATCAATCAACCAATCATTCAATTAATCCATCAAATCCGCTCTCTTCATTAAAGTCATGTCAACCATCAGTTCATTTTGGTTATTATTCAGAGAACAGTAAACTATACCCAAATTACTGACTGATATACGTCATTAAGTAACAAACCTGTTACTTCTTGAAACACGACGATAGCTTGATGACGCTCGGGTACATAGGTAACTTTCTCTACAGGACCTCCGTTGTTCCTACGGCTCTCAAAAAACAGTTCAATTTCTTCATAGGTAGTGTCATCTGAAAAACCGGTAACAAGAATGCTTTTGCGAACAGGAACTTGCTCGATGGACACCAAACCTCTAGTTTCAACTTCAACTTCCTTCTTGATATAACTGTAATCTGAATAAAATAAAAAAGTCATGGTACCTCGTGCAATAACCATCAGGTCTCCTCAATATCACTTCAGATAATGTGAGAGTTATACCAATGTTGGTGCTGTGGTATGGGTCGGTGAGTTACTACTAAGGCGGTGAGCAACTATTAAGTCTTGTTTCGTGTTAGCTTATTAGTTGCAAATGAATTGACGTGACTTTGACTTCGCCTACCTTTTACATCTTTGGTCATCGTGATTAGAGCTCTGCCGTTCATCAACATTTGTACCTCCTCCACCTCGGCACCGCTCACGACCTCAATTAAGGTTTTCAGCCTGCGTTCATTCATCAAGCTATCGAACCCACTAACCAGCAATTTCTTGGTCTCAAAGAAAGCTTGATCTTCAAGTTTCCCGTTTTCATTTTCTTTCTGTGACAGTTTCTGTTGATGTTGTTGTTGTTGTTGTTGTTGTTGTTGCTGTTGATGTGGTGGTTTTTGCTGTTGCTGCTGCTGTTGTTTTGGTTGTTGCCGTCGTTCTTCTTCTTCCTCTTTTTCATTCCCTGTAAGTTAAATGCAACAAACATTCACAACATTTTCCATTTTTCTTATTACATTAAAGAAGTTTCAGAAGGTTATTCTCGTTAATTTGTATTTAGCCTTTTTATTTCCAACCTCTACTCCTATTGCATGCTAATTATGCATGCTTTTTTTGAATGAGAATCCCATCGTGACCCTTCCGTAACTATCAATATTTTATTCTCTAAGCCATTCCAAGCAGGAAAAACATTTTATTTTGATCTCGCTGCTGACATACTCTTAATTCTACACAGTTTATTTCTTGTGACTAGATTTATTTGAGGCTGAGTTAGAACTTGAACCATGAGTGGTCAATTCAATTAGGGAATCACTACCTCAAACATAGAGCTCTCAGTCAACCGTCAATAAAATATTAATGAAAAGAGTGGTATGAGGGCCAACAAATGCAATTCCGTCGAAAGAGACAAAGTTCGAAATGGATTGTAAACTACAATTCCGCCCTCCGTTCATTAAATTGGGGATATTTCCATCCGTAATCCCTACCCTAAAAACGAGAACATTTTTACACCAAGCGCAATTCCTTGTTCAAGCACCTTACCGTTTTTAATCCTACAAAGGTCATTCTCAGAGGCACTTAGTCTGCTTGCTTCATCGACATTGTCCGTTGCTGGCCATTGTAAGGTTTCCCATCTGTCTAATAATGCTGACTTATCTTTGGGTGACAATGATGGGGAGAACTGCTTTAATGTCGATCGTCTTGTGGGCAGCAATGGTTGGGATTGTATTGATGTTGATAATGATTCTCCTCTGGGTAGTTGTGGGAATTTTATTGATGATGACTGTCCCGTGGATGTTAGTGACGTGGACTGTGTCGATGCCGACTCTCTCATGGGTGGTGATAGAGATGGGCTTGATGTTGATTTATCTTTCTGCAGTAGTAATGGTGGGGTCAGTGTCGTTGATTGCTCCGTGGGTAATAATGGTAAAGATTTTTTCAGCATTGATGTCGACTTTCCTTTAGGTGGTAAGGGCGGTGGAATTTCTGTTAATGTTGATTGTCCCGTGAGAAGTGATGATGATGCTTCTTTTGGTGTTGGTATCGACTTTCCTTCTTGTGGTACTGGGTTCTCTGTTAATGTCGACTTTTTTTTAGGCGGAAGAGGTGGTGGGGTTCCTGTTAATGTTGATTGTCCTGTAGGAAGTGTTGACGATGGTTCTGTTAGTGTTGGTGTCGACTTTCCTTCTTGTGGTAGTGGGTATTGGGTTGAGGTCGACTTTCTTTTAGGTGGTAGGGGTGGGGGCAGTTGTGTTAATGCTAACTGTCCCGTGGGAATTGGCGGTGATGGTTCTGTAGGTGTTGGTGTCGACTTTCCTCTAAGTAGTAGTGGGTGTCGTGTTGGTGTAGATTTTCGTGTGGGTGGTGGCATTGCAGATTGTGTTGATGATGAGAATGATTCTCCCCAGGGTGGTGGTGTTGGTGTAGATCCTGTTGATGTTGATAATGATGTTTCTCTGGGTAGTGATGGAGGTTCATTGTTTTTTGATGCTACCGTCCCCATTGGTGGTGGTGAAGTTTGGGTTGATGTTAATTTTCCTTTGGGTGGTGGTGTCGGGGATCGTGTTGATGTATATTTCCCTTTGGGTGGTAGAAGTGGTGGGGCTTTTGTTGCTTTTTATTGTTTCGTGGGTAGTCGTGGTGGAGCTTATGTTGGTGTTGATTGTCCCGTGGGTCGTTTGTGGCGGGGATTTTTAGGGCCGACGTCCACTTTCCCTCGTGTTGCAATAAATTTAAGAGAGTCTAATTTCCTGACGACTCGAACGAACTTTTCTATTTAAACGTCATTGCCAGGGGTTTCTAAGTAAAGTGTTATGAACATAATACATTAAGAACGGAACAACTAATTACAAGATTGGAAATAACACAGGAAATACAAATAACAAGCAATATGTATAACATAGGCAATACTAATAACATGGGAAACAAGGGACACTCGACGAAAGGGCAATTTACCAGACGATTTTGGAATACAGCAGGCATAAGAACGTTCTCGTGATTACATTTCAACTCGAGCTCACACCTTTTTTATTTGCATGATCCTCGCGAAGGTTAAACTTATACAGAAAAAACTAAAAAAACTTGTACAGATAGCCGCACGAACTGGGGCTAAGAGGGGGATTGGTTTCTACAATAGAGTTTATGGTGAGATATAAACTTGAACTTAAAAGAAAATCATGTGGAGCAATTTTTGAGTTAAAAAAAAAAAAAACTCTATGTTAGCGTATGGAGTGGTATGTTGGTATGTTACTCGCCTCAATCAGATCGCCGCATTAGAGTACGTATCTCGCACCAATCAGATTGTCGTATTTTGACAACTCGTAGTAATCAGAGTCTTCGAGATTCAACGAATTGACGTGCGATTCGGAGAGAGTGGTCACCATTTTGATTGAGAAATGCCGGCTTTTCTGTGTTTTTAATGTGTATTTTACTGCGCTTTTGAGGATAATGCGATACTGCTGGACAGATGAAAGATATCAGATTACTTAGAGTAAACGTATTACTCATGCTGTGAAAAGAGAAAATCGAGTTCTCTGCACTGAAGCAAGATCATGGTTATTCTTCCTTCTCGACGAGAGTGAGTGGATCGCCTGGGGTGCTGATGGATTGCACCATACATTTTGATTTGAGCAGTTCTTTAGCGGAAAGCTGTGTTGCGAGATTCATGATCTGTTGAGTGTGCCGATTATATTTTTCTGGAATTGGTTTGCTCGGTGCTATCCCTAGAAGAATGTCTGATTAAAATAAACTATGCGCGATTTTTTGTGGCTCTTAGGCAGTTTTGTCGCCTCATGTGGCAATGACTTTGATTGATATGCAATCTTAAGAGGTCTTTTTAATGAACAACGATTTTTCCACGAAAGATAGCTGATTTTTCTCCTTGATGGTTTAGTTGCGGTCAATTTCATGGTTAGCATCCTGGTGCGTTACTCTTGGATCGGGTCTTTCATTTTTGGAACTTCGAACTATTGGAAGTGTGTTATCTTTATTTAGAATCCTGAAGTGCTTCTAGAAAGTGAAAAAATTCGAACGTTGTCCTTTTCGCCGACTCTGTTTACAGAGTACGATTCTACCGGAAAAAATTCAAAATACTGTAAGGAAACTAGAAAATGACGAACGTCGAATGTAATTACTGTAAAACAATTTAACACATGTCCCAGATGGCTCTTGAGAAAGACGATTTTAGAAGGTTTTCAGTAATCTGGGAATTTCGTGTTACAGGAAATTGGGTCAAGGCGCGCGTTGCAACAAGGGTGAAAATGGACCTAAACTGGCCTCAAGCTAGGGCGTGGATACTTCGTTTCCTCTCTTTCGATTGTTAGGAACCAATCTAAAAGTACAAGTTTCAACTAAATAGGATATACATGAGGATGTTTTTGCTTGATGAATAATGAAAAAGTAACTGATGCCGTCGTTTCTGCGCGTGGCTTTCGCATTAGGAGATTGGAATTATTTCCCTTTCAATTTCCCAATCCAGCATGCATGCATCCAGTCTCGAGCTCAGGGTCATTTTGGCTTTTTGTCAGTGGTATGGTTACCAGATAACATTATTTAGCGACTATACCGCTAGCGAAGTCTGATTTTCACATATTAATCTTTTCGTAATCACCAAACAGATTAGAGATAAAACCACCAGAAAGTAAAGAAATGGCCAGTCACAAAAACAATGCTTCGCTTTCCCAATTAAAATTCGCGGGTCCTTCATGTAAGCTTATAACAATATAAGGCACATAAGTAAAAATCAGAGTGTGAACACCCCTGAACGTTGAAAAAATATATATATATATATATATCAAGTCGATAGAACAGTTTTGGTCTCGGTCCGCATCTTTGTGAACAAAATGAACACATATCGGTTAAAAGATGATAATGCGGACGATGTGCAAGGCTCTCAGTTGTTTCTCGAATATTGCGCGTGTTAGTTATTCCATAGTGACATCTCGTGCGCGAGATGAGAAAGACCATATGAAGGCTTGAAATTCTTCCAGGAACGATTGTGGCCGCTTTGTTCGAAACCAAAATGCAATGGCCATTTTATTAAAAACAAAACATACCAAGAAACGGGCAAGAAATATTCCACAATAGTGCAAATAATGACCGCGTAGAAGCGATTGCGTGACGATCGGTAAGTTGTAAGAAGATATTTTATCACATATCAGACGAAAAAAATAGTTTAAAATGTCAGTCTGCATTTTGTACTTAGTCTACATTTTGTACTGACCGGTATCCGTGGCACCAATACAGTTTATTCTTGCTAAAAAACTAAAATTTATTCGATAGTAAGTTGATATCTTGTTTTCGATGAAAATAAGAGCCTCCCAGTTGATTTTACAAGTCTTTTTTCTTCTCACACACCTTGGTTAGAAGCCATGTTGTTTATGTCGCACCGCCGACGTGAGAAATAAGTGCGACAAAATTCGCTCAGGTTTTGTTATGATTTTGTTGCTGATACACTCCAGGAAAGCTGTTAAATACAAATGACTGGATATCTAGAAGTGGGATACCCTTACGCTTGTTATCCTGTGTAATCTTTGTTTCCACGCAGACCACCGTGACCTCTATAATGTCTGATGTCTGAGCTCACTGGAATGCTTGCTTTCCAGTATAGCGTTGCTATGCGGTATCTAAGCACGAGATCTCTAGCTGCAAAAGGCCTATTATTCGCACAACACACACAATCGACCACAAAATACCTGTGTGTGAGTTAACTCAGCATTTTCGTTCTTTTCCGGGTTGATTCTCTTTCGTTTTGTGAAAATGTACACATCATTTTACAATGTTTCAATTAATCCACCAACCAAAAAGAATAACTCTTACATGCATAGCATGCCTATGTCTTGTCGAGTTAGCAGGTGACAACTCACGCAATCAAGTTAAAGAAGGAATGTCACATTGTATTGACCTAAAGCTTTTGCACTTGGATGACAGTCTAATTATGTGTCTGATACAAGAAAACTACTGCCATTATCACTGCTTACTACATGTTTGAAGTTAAACCTCGAAGCTATAACGCTTTCTTGGCTAATCGACTCGACTTGAATTGACAAGAAGCCCACTCTAACTCATGTTACAAAACAGAACTGCGTTAACTCATATCGTGTTACTCTTGAAGTGAGGCGGTTTTGACAATTACTAATTTATGCACACAAATAACATATCTAAACGACGATTTACCACTTGTGAAAACGAGCTGAAATATTTACCTCCTTATCCTGAACTGCAAAACGCTTCAAAAATTTCGAAAGAAAAGAACAACAACCTCACTGAGTTGCAGTTTTCACGGAAGTTTAGCCTTTGGTTTCTCGCAACGACAGTCGGGAAGGATCGAAACTGTTTGCAATTGTTTCGTTTTTACAAATCAGCTGATTGACATTTAATTTTAGCCTTGATTGACAGTCGATGGTGCAATCGTTTTAGTAAGTTTACATTGAGATCAAATGACACGTTTTTCAGTTGTGAAAGAAAAAGTGGCTCTTACTTGGTGTAGAAGACACAGTATACGCCATAATAGAATTTCATCACAACTGTCCCTCGCTAGCTAACCTGTAGTTTTCCTGATGACCCGTTTCTTTCCCTTTTCGCTGACCTGTTCTGCAGCAGTTTCTGGCTGGATAACGCCACAGAGGAAACCAATTTGTTTTGAAGCCAGTTTGATTTTCAGGTTTATGACTTCGAATTTTTTCGCATGTAATTTCATGGATCGCTCGCTGTTAGATTTCTTAAGAATTATGTATTGTCTCTTACAGATCGAATAAACTTAAAGAAAGAAATGTACGATTCGTATCCAGTCAATTACTCGATAGCCACTTAACGAGGGTCCCCAATAGTTTTTTCGCGATCCAGAATTGAGCTTATTTGAAATTAAGGAGGGAGCGAGATGCGGGATTATTACTATGAACGGGACACGGGAATCGGCAATTTTGAGTGGCGGGATTCGGGAAACAAATGTGGAGATGGCCCGTCAAAGAAGACGTTTAAAAGCTCCATATTTCAAAAGGCATTCGATCTGACCTTTAAGGACAAAAATTACGGGACAAGCGTTCACATTTGAAAACCTTGTAAACGGAACATAGAAAAACAAAACAAAACAAAACAAAACAAAAAGCAGGTGGAATGGATACCAACTGAACGTAGCTTTTATTGTCTTTCTACGTTCACAGTAACCTACACTGTCAAGAATACATTCTCGATGCCAAACTTTTATCTTACAGATTAAATTTCAAGTTTTTCATAATTTATTAGGCCCTGCATTGACTTAAACCAAAATTGCATTTTATTTTCATTGTTTAAGTCGTCACTCCTAGCTGGAATAACAATACTCAACTTGTTCACATTATCTAAGAGAATATAGTGGCTAAGTGCTTCCAGCAACTGCCTTATCTAACCCGTCAGGCGTATGGCGCACAATAATTCTATTCTACCAGAATGATTCTCAGATCCCTGTAGGTCGCCATGTAAAAACATCCCAGGTGAAAGGTATACGAGTCTACGTCCACTTCCAAGCATGCGCCCATGTGACTGGGTTTCAGCGAGACATCAGTGAGCTTAATGCACGCATTCAATGTAACATCGAAAACAGTTACGTCGTGGCAAATTGGTGGTGGGTTTTTAACTAAAAATAAAATGTCAAAACCAATTACAATGATAATTGAACTGAGCGGAGTACAATTTGGTTTAAAATCATTTGTGTGATTTCAAAATTGGAACGAGCCAAACTTCTGTATTAGATTTCCTGGCTGGGGCGAACTTGAAAGAGGCGAACTTACTATGGGGCGACGTGTCCGTTACCAGAAAGCAAGAAACAGATCCAGATAAGTTGACTGAGTTAGAGCGAATTTTCACAGCAGAGTAACTCGCTGATCATCGCAAGACCACTGTTTTTAAATCAAAGTCATTCAAGTCTACTAATAACTAAACATTTAGAATGAAATTTTTAAGGGTCTTTCAAGGCATAAGCCAAGCAATAATACAAAAGTATTTTCGAGATATTTTGCTAACTTTTACTCACCAGATATCTTTTGGTCGAAAATAATATGACCATTGACAACCATTTTAAGATCAAATCCCTAGCAGATGACAAAACAAGTATTAAAAAGCCTGAGTTATTAACTACAGTGGAATCTGTTCCTTAAGGAAAAGTCTACATAGAGAACACTTCTAGTTTGGGGAATAAAATCATGGTCTGATGAACAAGTAAGAAAAAAAAAAGAAGGAATTTAAAAAAGTCCATGACTTTAATTCAAGGGACACTTATAGTCAAGGGACACTTTTCGTAGTCATACGGGTGTTCCCGGAAGGGAGGTTCCACCGTATAACCTTGGTATCCGGTACCTTGTCGAAAAGGACACCTCTGGCCAGGGGACAACTTTCCTAGTCCCGAAGGGGGCTCCTTGAACGGAGGTCTCTCGTTAAATGGTTGAATTTCGACAAAGAGAGATAGCAGTGGAAAAGAATGGAAGGAATGAGGAAAGAAGTTGAAGAAAAGAGGAAAAGTAGAGGAGAAAAGAAGGCGCATAGAAATGCAGACTAGCACTAAATTCAGTCACTGATTGTCTCACCCCTCCGTCTGGATCCATGCTTGCACTAACAGAGGCTGAAAGAAAATAAAGCAAAATAAAGAGCTGTAGCTACGGCGTGTGCGCACTTCATAGTTTGAGTATACTTTAAAATAATCAGCGGCAATCAGATGGAAAACTCTTCATATTTTTTCTCTAAAAATGGTGCAGTTCAGCTCAGGTATTGACTGGCCTCTATCTCTGTATAAACTAGTTCCCAGGACGAAAGAAAAAACCCTCAGAGTGAGGATGTTATATGGCTCCTCTATCACGCTACCCGTCCACCCCACCCCCGTTGTTCATTTTCTCTCTTCTCCTACTCCCTTAGTTTCCTTGTTGATGTTACTAGGTTCTGTGAGATCAAACGATATTACCTTCCAATTTTATTCCAAATATTTGGATTCTGAGGGAGCATTCACATTCAGGCGGAAACTTTGAGCACTGACATCCGTTCTTGTCACCATTCCATGTTTCCAATGCTGGACCAGTCAGCGAACTGGTGCTATCGATCTGGTTTTTCTGATAGTTTGCAAAAGAATTGAAAATATTGTTTAAGATGAAAAACTGAAGTGGAACATCACAGAAAATTTTTCGTCATGGATTTCCTTAAAGCTCATTAGAATTAAGTCACAAATATCCCCCACAAATATATTGACGTTTTGGAAAAAATTAAGTCACTTCGCATCTATCCTCCTTCCCAGTCTCTTTCCTCTTTGCCTCCTTTGTCGTTGAAGGTAAAGAAGAGAGAGCCAGGGCTTGAGTTTACTTACCAAAACTTTTCGAAAGAAGGTACAGTGAAAGAATGATTGACCAGAAAGTATTCACGAGGTGAGTTACTAAGAAGCTTAATGGTAAGTCAAACGAATCACATGTGAGGTAATAACAACCTTTGATGCTTGAAAGACATCTTCCAGTAAGGAAATAAACGACACAGGATCCAGAAAGGTTCCCATTTCCACTCCATGCCCGTCCTCACCCCTGAAGAAGAAACAGCCAAGAGGAATATCTCTTCCGTTGTGCTTCGATTTAAATTCCAGAGCTGCACACCATCTAATGTGATCTTTCTCGATTGTATTCTTGGTAAATTTAACGCAGGCCTTTCCATAATTCGGAAGAGGAATGTCAAAACATAGAGGCTGTGGACGGGAATCTGTCGTTGAAAAAATTAAACTAAGATGTTTTGCGATCAAAAACAGAAGCAAACTAAAAAAAAAAACCTGCTTACGGATCGCCTCACGAAATGCTGCCTGAGGACTCAAAACAAAGTCACCAGGAAACCAAGGTAAATGTTCCTACCTGATATGGTGCGGTTTAAAACCTCACGTTTGTTCCACGTCATGAGAAAGTCCACCGCCTGTAACGCAATGCATTGTGGTAAGTTTAAAATCCTCCATCATCAAATATTTAGTTCCTTCTTTTAGCTTTGAACTTAAAATCATCAAAAAAATTTGACAAAAATCACGTCATCAGAAAATCATCAAAATTAGGAAAAAATTGTAGCGAAGCTCACCAATGGCGACGTGGTAAAAGACGAGTTCATACACACTGTAAAAAGTCAAATAAAAAAATCATACGATAAGTTGAATGATTCAAGAAATTTGATTGGTTCTTACTTATGATCTATCAGAGGAAAGACGCATAAATGACCTCACCATTAACAACATTTTGCTTTTGATTATAAAACAAATTGATTCTTTGATGCTGTGGGTCTGTTCAGTAAGAGATCACAGATGACATAAAAATGGGGTAAGAACAACAGTAACACACTTGGCTGCACCTCATGCGCCAATTTTTTATGCTTACCATATTCCAACGTCATCTGTGATCTACAACTGAACAGACGCGCGTCAACATGGAATCTATATCTCACTTTGAATACCAAAGAAAGCTCAACATGTGGTAATAGCCATATTCGTTGAAGAGAAAATGAAATAGTCATTTGCTTTACCAGTTTCTCTTCCTCGAATATTCGAGACTGACACCCACTCTTTGATAACTAGATTTACACATGATACGTGCGGTATTTGGTAGAATATTTCATAAAGCCCTCCCCTCCCTTGAAAGGTACGACCATTGTGATCTGGCTCCTTGCTTGACGTCACCTTACGCCTATCGTTAGTTTCCAGGTTCGTCCGAGCTTAGAGTTCTTAAGGAGTCCGTGGTATACGAAATAATCATTTTTCTGATACTTACCATCTGCTTCTTCATAATTTTGGAATGCAGGTGCCCTGATTTGAAGGCAGCAGCCACACTTTTGATGATGATCAGAACAGCTGCAGCGGCGGCGGATAATCTCTACTGAAGACGGACTGAAATCCGCTTCCTCTTCTGCGAAAAGATTTTCTATGTTAGATTAAAGGGCTTCAAATCTGTTAAGCACTCTCTAAGCGGAGAAATCGTTACCAAGAACTTATATGAAAATATTTTGGTGCCTTCTATTGAGAAGAGGCTGACCTGAGTATCAGGCCTTCCAATAGAAGGGGGAGTGGTGAAATGATTCCGAAACCATTTCCCTAGCGAAGGACTAATTAAGGTTAAAATTCCAGTCCTCCTTGAGGATCCAGGCTAAACCATAAATTATGTTTTATTATCCCATTACTAAGCCATTTTACTATGTGGGGGCAGCAACACCCAAAATATGCAACGGTAGTACACCGTAGATCGGGCAAAAATACCGACGAAAAGCCGAACAACAGAATGGCCACGCTGAACGATCCAAACATTGATTTGTCCAAGTCCTGTAGAATGATCTTCGTAAGGGACGAATTTTTAAATGAAAAATATTTTCGGCAGAAAGGACTATTGAACTCGATATGCGATCGTCACAAAGTTTATATTATTTCGTAGGATGTATTTCGAAAAATTGAAGCCAAAGAATCAGAAAAAGAAACTAAATTACAAGGCTTATAAAATAAAAAAATTCTACATTCGATTATTTAGCATACAATACGAGATGCTTGTTGTTCGTATTTTTCTTCATCCTACGGAGCGCGAGAGAATACGACTCAACCCGGAAGATATCTCGACGTCTTATAAATCAAAACAATGACTACACTCTACACATTAAGCATTGTGCATATCACTATGATTTAAAATGTTGCAAGTGTCCGATGTTTAGAAAGAATAAAAAATATGGTAACATTTGAGACGTATTACAAGCAAGCGATTCGATTTATCAAACGAAAATAGTGTCATACCGTTGTCCCATACAGGCATTGTGTAGACCAGGTTGCAAAACACCAAGAATGCGATAACCTCCAGTAAGCGACCCATTGTGTTGTGATTTCTTGTTGTGACGAACTGACTGAATGAAAAAAAGAATTATGGAACGTTATTTAAATCTGAACAATTATCATGTGACTGAACTATGGTTGCCCCAAGTTGGTAAATGAAATAATTGACCCAAAAAAAAAATTACGGTAATAATGATCATGTGCCTAGAATGTGATGGTTTCTCCCCCCCTAAAACTTAGCTATGTTCCAAGTTGGTAAATGAAATAATTGACCCAAAACATAAGATCACGGGAACAATTATCATGTGCTTGAAAGTTTTCCAAATATTTCTTAAATAGCTTTGTTGAAGTTTCAGAATTATATCTCTGGAGCTAAGTAAAATAATTTTTTTCAAGTATTCATAAAATTACCCAATAAAATTAACAAAAAAAATCGTCTATATGCAATTGCAGTAAAAAAAACTGTTCTTGAGTCTGTTCTTTTTGTAAATAGGGACGTGATATCTGATTGGAACGTGAAATGTGATTCCCTCTTCTCTGAGGTATGTCCCAGGGAAAACAAAAATAATTATCATGTTCTTGAAAGGTGATTGTTTCATCCGTTAAATTTGGCCATGTTCTAAGTTCCTAGAATAACTGACCCAAAACGGAAGAACGGGAACAATTATCATGTGCTAGAAATGTTATTGTTCCTTGTGACGTCACCTTGGAAGGTCTCAACACAGGTTAATTAGAGGCATGCATTATGAATTGTCTTGTGATGTCTCGTGACAATCATTCCCTTCTTAAGGAGGATATCACCACCGAAATACCCTATAATCTTTTGCATTTATTTTTACCATTTTGTGATAAAATTCAGCTTCGGAGCTTCTCAGCGGTTAAAAAAGAACCATCCAGGCCCCTGACTGCGATAAAATGTTCTATTCCAAAATTATTCCTAAACCGTTGTTCAAGAGAGAGAATAACCCTAACCCTGAGGGAAAAATTCTCCTCCAGGCTCCAATCACAGACTCTCTGATTTCTCTGTCGAATGCTGCACCAAACGAACTACAGATAACTTGCTCGTAAGCCAAGCCATAAATTAAGTTTTATTATTCCATCATTACGTCATTTTTCTATGTAAGGGCAACACGTCACGCAAAATATTCCACGGTATTATATGCAATCACATTTCAAGCGCAGGATTATAGTTCCCGTGATCTTCTGATTTGGGTAAATTATTCATCAATTTGAAGGTACAGATAACCAAGCAGATAAAAATTTTTACATTTTCCAGTTGTAATATCTGGTTACGACTTTTCCTGATTGGTTGAAAAGATAGAAATTTTCATAAATTCCTTTGAGTTACAAAGCTCCGAAGATTAATTTTACAGTTAAAAAAGACATGCAAAAAGACTACAAAGTTTTACGGCCGTGCTATTCAGATATTTTCTTTGAGATTAAGGTTGTCACGAAACATCACAAGGTAATCTATAATGCTTGGCCTTAATTGGCCAGGTTACCGAAGAGCAATCACATTTGAAGCACATGACCATTGTTACCGCGATATATTCTGCTTTGGGTCAATTACCTCATCCGGCGACTTGGAACAGAACCGGAACTAAACTAAATTTTGGGGGAAGAAGCAGCCTCATTTCAGGCACATGATAATTGTTCCGTGGGCATGTTTTCTTTTTCGTATTTTAATTTTCTTGATAATTTACTGGAACTGTTTTATTGGTTTTGCCGCAATTTCCCAATTCTTTTCGATCCATTTCATTTCGTCATCCTTATCTTAAGTTTTTTCTTTGTTTTTTAACATATTTTGTTTTCAATTTAGCCGTCACGCCACTATTGCACCCTTAGCGTCTACTGAGAGAAGCTTTACATAAGAAATCAGAAAGCCTACTCTTTACTTTTCCTAATTCCTCTCCTGATTTGTCCGTCACACTGCCGTAACGCTTGCATTGCGTGACACTACGAGTAACGCAGATCAGATGCAGGCAGCTTTTTTTTAACGATAGATTCCCGTCAGCAGCCTATATTTTTTGACAATCCTCGTCTGAGTGATGGAAAGGCCTACGTTAAATATACCAAGGTTGTGATCAAGATAGATCTCGTTAAAGGGTGTGCTGCTCTGGTGCGCTGCTTCTGAGTAACTAACTTCGTGACTACTTTCTGATCAATTCTCCCTACCTTCTTTCGGAGAAGTTTGGGAAAACCTGTAACCAGGCTCCCTCTCCTTTACCTCCCCTATCAGCTGGTTGTGAAGTGGCTTGATTTTTTATCAAAACGTCAGAATATTTGTGGGAGATATTTGATGCTTAATTCTGATAAGCTTTTAAGAATCCACGCCAAAAGGTTTTCTGTGAATTCTCATTTCATTTTACATTGTCTTTATTAAATATTACTTTCAATTCTTTTGAAAACTTTCAGAAAAACCAGATCGATCGCATCAGTTGGCTAGCGGATGGTGACGAAGACGGTTGTCACTGTTCCAAATCTCCACCTCATTGTGACTGCTTTGCCAAGTTCAAAATATTTCGGCATTCAGTGGAAGGTAACATCGTTTGAGCTTAAAGAACTAAGTGACGGTGACTCCCACATAAGAAAAACTAAGGGGAGGGAGAGAACATAGAAAAGTGCCATGAAGGGGGGAGGGGATAGGTGAATAGAGGAGACATATAACAACCTCATTCTGAGGGTTTTTTGCTTTCGTCCTGAGGACGAAGTAATAAAAAGATGGAGGCCAGTCAAGACTCGGGCTAAACTGCATCAGTTTTGATAGAATAAGAAAGAAGAGTTTTCGATCAGATTACTGCTGACTATTTTAAAGTATTGGCAAGCTATGAAGTGGGTATACACTATTTTTATTACTTCTCATTTTGCTTTATTTTCTTTCAACCTCTGTTGGTGCAACCATGGATCCAGACGGAGGGGTGAGACAATCAGTGATTGAATTTAATGCTACTCTGTATTTCTATGCGCCTTATTTTCTCCTCTACTTTCCTTCTTTTCCTCAACTTCTTTCCTCTTTATCTTTTTGTCGCTCTTTTCGTTTTATCCTTTTTCTTCGCCTCCTTTCCCTCACCTATGATTCGTTTCTACTTTAATTTAATAAATAATTTAATTTAATAAATAGCAAGTTACAAACCCACCCAACTCAACCCAATCCAGGGGAGGACATCCATCACACAGTAATCTCGTGCGTGGGAAATTCCTACCCCAACCGGGACCTCCGGCTTAACGTCTTATCCGAGAAGACGAAGCAAGGTGAGTAGGGCGTTGGTAAACACACAATCTTCAAACAGTTTGACACTTTCTAAGAGTATTGTTATTTCGGAAGCTGCCAGAGACTAAAACTCGCTCGCTAATCACTCGAAAGTGGTGGATATCCAAAATATTTTGCTCCTCTTCAGTGGATAATTGTTCAATGAAATCATAGCCTAGTTCACAAGTGTTCATTAAAGATAAATGTAACTTTTCCGGCTTTTGGTTTGGTGAACTTATGATACTTTTGATCTTTTTTCTCAAGTGAAGTCATATCCATAGCTTTCTGAAGGACTGGCACATGATTAACAACAGTCATCATACTCTCAAAGTTTCTCTTCACAAGTGACCCCAAGAGATCTTGCGAAAGATTTCTCTTTATAAGAAATAGATACGGTCTTAAGTTAAGAAATTTTAATTTAAACGCCATATTGTTCGATGGGTATGTCGAACCTTAAACTGCCTCCATTTAGAAACGTTTTTCTATAACCCTTAAGAGTGACTAGCATCGTTATGCATGGTCATGAGAATGACGGAAATGATCACCAACCAAAGAAGCTCTTGATCATTAAAATGAACAAATACTCTTTATCAGCACCTTAAAAATGTCTGGAGAACAGTATGGAGAAGATGTATAACGATGTTGAGGTGAAAAAGGTAAAAAATCTGCCACGACAGAGTCTTCTCAAAAAGGGAGACGCAAAAAGCATATAGATTGGAAGCCAAGAGTAGAGATAAACGCTGTGCGATAAGACCGAAAATTTAAGGTGGCACTTCCGAAGTTTTTGTTTCCTCAATTTAAAATTTGTATCAGTTCTCAACATGTTGTTCTCATCAACACCACAGCTTCTTGAAATTTCCTTACTTTTCCTTTATCTGTCAGTAACTAAAAGAACGATTGCGAAAACCAGATAACCACTTGTTGGATTACCGATTTGCCATCAGGATATCAAGATATCTCTCTGCAAAGTTGTGAAAACTCTGTACATTGCGTTTAAAATCCACCTTAAAAATTCGGTAGCTTTGGACAACATGTAGATACTTTTGTTAACTTGGCAGAAAGATGGATATTGATGTACAAATTGAATTCAAACACTTAAACCTTAAAGCATTTCTGAGACTAATTAGTGTTGCTATGGTAACCTAAAATGTAAAAAAAAATTTTAAAATAATCAAGGTACACTGTAAATAAGCAATCAACCGCTTTATTAAAATTTTCAAGCAATGAATAAATGTGACTTACTTCGTAAATCACTTCTGGTTTTGTATAAACGATAGTTTTTCTACGAAGGAATGATAACCATTTTATATCATAGGGCCTTTTATTTTGATTTTCTTTCTTGTTTTACTTTACAACTTTTTGTAAATATATTAAATCCTATTAATCAATAATTTCAGGGGACAAATTAATGAAGAGGAAACCTAACAAAAAAACATGAAAGTTTGTAAACTTAAATTCAGAAAAAAGACTTTGTGGACAAAGTGAAATAAGGATATTCTTGATTTAAAATAAAAGATCTTTTCAATTTCTTGAGGGCGCTCGTGATAGAGGGCCAGTTATCTTTCTTAATGTAATTTCAGCGTCAGAGTAGTCAATAAGGTGGCTTTGCAGAAAATTTCCGAATTCTTTCAAACTGAAATAAAACACAAATAGTAGGTCGTTATACATAAAAAGAAATCATTATAGCAAAATAACAGTTCATTGATTTCATTGGTTAAGTTAGAGAGCCCTATGCATATTTCACCTGAGTTCCATTGCTCCCGATCAGTAGCAATGATAGCGGAGCTCGCAGAGCGTAGCCCCATAATTATACAAAATGGTAGTAGCAACCCATCAAGCCGAAAAAATTTGGACTTACGACCGTACGACCGACCGTACAAGGTGCTACTTTTAACATGCGTGGTCAACTGTACCGCGGGCACGCCAACGCCATGGCTTTGTCCACTAAATTCTCATAACTAATTTACAAGGAATTTTATAAAATAATTCAAATAGTACGCGTGCTCTGATCGGCCATAAAACCATTTTACATGAACGTATGTAAACACGGTTTTCGTTCCTCTTTCATTAGTTATTTTATAAAAGAAATGTAAAATGGTTTTCGTGTTTACATTGCCTGATGTAAACACTTGGGAGGTCTCTTGGAAGATCACTTGGGAGGAGATCTCGTGTTCTCCCAACCTCCTGCGTGTTTACATCAGGCTATGTAAACACGGAAACCATTTTACATTTCTTCACTGTAACAGCACGAGGGGAGAACTGACAATAAAATCTTGGGAGTTAAAGGGTTAAAAGCAAAAAGAATAACTAGGAAAGTCACGATACCTTTGCATGAACCACAAGTCTTGGAGCATGTTTCTCGAATGAAACTGCTTATAGAGCACATATTTTTCCAGGAAGAGCAGGATGTGTTACCATCTTGACAGGACGTGGCTGGAAGACACATAAAAAGAATTCTATTCAGATTGGAAAAGTATTAGTAAATAGGAACAAGCTTTCAGAGCACTGGGAGCCTTAGCTATAGAAATTGTTGGAACAAAATTCAGTTGTACCTTTAAAACCGCGAATAATTAAATTTTGTGCGAGTTTTGTTTTCAGGATCGGCGATTTATTTTAGTTTGCGGTGATAGGTTTTTGCCTTCAAGTTGTCTGATATATCTGCTAAGAACTATGCCTACGATTCTCTATTCCAACTGCAGAGCACCAACAAGGAAACCCTTAACTTTGTTCATAAGGAGTAATATTAATGTTTGAGGAACTAACCTCTGCAACCTGCGATTGGCTGAAATAAAAATTGACATCACGAAAGTGAAATTGATTCCCCACGCACGCCTCGAAATTTACCGTGCCGGCAGGCACCGCGACAAATTCATTTAACTTAACAAAAATCACGAAGCAGCATAATGCTTTCAT